TAAGGAGACGGCAGGGGCAAGACCTATTGAGGACTAAGGATGCAAAGCACAAGCGATTAATGCAAGAGAGGCGGTCGACGAACTGTGCCATGGCTCGCTGGCGATACGCATCATTCAAAGACATAAAACACAGAAAGTCGTAGAGATTCACACAACAAAACGACCACTCAGGGGCGCTACTGTGATGAAGGTGTCGCCCGAAGGTGGCGATGATGGAGACGAAGCAGAACGAAGTGTGGGTGACGACGAAAATCCATGGGAGAAGGCGACGCCACGGGATGGAATCCCGAAGCACCAAGCGTATGCGACACTTCTGCGGTACGATGGAACTAAAACAAAAAATATTTAAGACAAAATTAGTCGGCAAACAGGCGAACCAGGAAACGCGGGGAACTCGGTGTCCAAGTGTCCCGAGACAAACATCACCGACGAAACTTGGGGAGCTCTGTTTCCAAGTGTTCAGAGGCAGACAACACCGACGAAACTTCGGAGGGGGCTTGTTGAGAGAACCAAAGACCAACAACAACAAAAAAATTGAAGCAAAGGCGAGAGAGAACGGACATCCAGGTCGCGGCAGTTCACTGATTCAGATCCATGCAGGCAACAAGGAAGAAGGATCACTCGACAATGCGTGTCTTGAGGCGGCGTTGCCCCAGCGTCCAAAACAAAATAAGCCAACGAGAGAAAAGAGACAAGACAAAACAACAAACAAAACAAAATAAAACAAAACGGAAGGTGACATAGGAAAAAAAAAAAAAGCAAAACGTCGGCGAGAAGGATGGCACAAAAGACCAAAATAGGCCAAATGGTATATGAAAACGACAACGCTAAGAAGAAACGGCGGGAACAGCCGACGGTAAGGAGTCAGCAAGGAGCGGAGTGCGACCACGGTTGTCGCCCAGAGGGCGCGAACGATGTTTCTCTAAACACCATGATCCACAGACGGCGTCCAAGGCGGTGGAGTAGAGATGCGCAGGCAGAGGCAGAACGCTTGGGCCCGGGTCATCCAAAAATCGAACGATGTACGAGCCGCCCTGATGAGCACCAATGCGTCCGGTCCACCACAATCTATCACGGGCTTTGTACCACAGCCGCGCGCCAACAGGGAGGGGCGAAGTGCTGAACGGCGAAGCCAAGTCGCACTAAGCACAAGATCAGCCCCAGGAGGCCAATAGCGTTCTCCACGATTCCGGGCTAGCTCCCGCTGTGCCGCGCGAGTCCGAGCCACTCGATATGTACGGTTACCCTGCTTGCTTTGGCAGGCCTCCCGGGACCAGTACAAGAGGATGTGTCGACGGAATAGATCAAGGTCGGATTCCCGTTCCCATGAAGGAGTAGTCAGGCCTACCCAATGCGTCTGGTACAGGACAGCGAGAACGCCGCTACGGCCCCGCACCAGTTGATGTCCCGAGAAGTAGTCGACCTCGAGGCGCCCGACAGGCACCGACACATCATCCGCGGTGACGTGGAAAGGTGGACATTTATCTCCGAAAGAGTGCAGAACATGACGCGAAAGCACGGCGGGCAGAGATTGCGGCAAGTCGTCCGTCTCGTACGGATTGCGACAGGGCTTGCAACGAAGGACAGACACGCGACAACGAGCTGCCGGGCCGGAAAGATCGGAAGGCAGGTCCAGGTAGAGGAGTTTACGCGCCAACGGGCGGCCGTCCGGAGTGGCGTCGGCAGAGGTGGGACCCACCGCAAGAACTTTGTAGGGCCCCGTCCAGGAAAGTGCGAATTTGGCCTTGAGCACCTGTTGGTCCGTGTCCTTCTGCACACCCTGTCGAATTGTAGCAGCCGTGTTGTACACCCAAGCCCACCCGCCACCGGTAAATTGAGGGAGCTTGTGGATGGGTTCCAGCAGGGGTGAATTTCGGCGTTCGACTCGCGAAATCTTCAGCGCGCTGTATTCGCGGACAAGTTCGCAGGCCCGGCGCTGGCGATCGACAGCCAGGTTGCAATACTCGAGTTGATCGCGGGCCAAGCTTTGATGACCACCTACCGTGGGATGATCGAAGACCGAAAGCGGGAGTCGCGGGATGCGTCCGATGTGGATCTCGTTTGGCGCTAATCCAGTAGACTGGTTCACGGAATTGTTGTAGGCAAACTCAACGTGCGGGAGATGTATGTCCCAATCGTTTTGCTGTTCGTTGACGACCACCGCAAGCATCTGGGCCATCGTGTGGTTGACGCGTTCAGTGCCGCCGTTGGTCTGTGGGTGGTAGGAGCTGGTGGTGACCCTCTTGATCTTCATCACCTCGTAGATCGCCATGGAGAGCTTCGAGCAGAAATGCAGTCCGGTCCGACAACAACGTAGTCGAACATCCCCACTTGGTCATGTATTGGTTGACGAAGATGTGAGCCGTCCCTCTCGCCGTAAATTCCGCCGCTGTAACTGCGAACATGTCGGCTCTCCGACTGAAACGGTCTGTGAACAACAAAATGTAGGAGTTGCCCTTGGCAGTCACTGGCAGAGGTCCGAAGAAGTCGACGCCGACGACCGTACCAGGCCCCTGCGGCAATGGCATAGCGATGACGGGCCACCGAGCAGTCTGACGTGAAGTCTTGCGAGCTTGACACACCAAACACGCCCGAAGCCACCAGCGCACGGAACGATCCAAACCAATCCACCAGTAGAAGCGCTCGAGCAGACGCTGTGTACGATGTACGCCGAGATAGAATGACGCGGCCGTATGGCATGCATGAAGGACCCACGGACGCATCAGCATTGGCACGTAGACACGGGGCACGCCAGTATCCGGCAGACGAGTGGTCCTGCCGCCAGAGCGCCCAACCGGCGACGTCGCCGATTTATGTACGAGGAGGGTGATGTTGTCATCGGTCGTGTGCAGTCTGGTTTTCGCCGCCAACACAAGCACATCATCTAACCGAGGGGAGCGAAGAGGAGCACAGAGAGTGAGCAAGCCCGGAGGGGGTGGGGAGGGAGAACCGCAAGACACAAAACGCGTAGTCACCATACACTAGCTCTCCCGCTGCTGTTCCCTAGCCCAGTCCACAGTGCTGAAACTCTGAACACAAGCCCGCAAGTGGGAGGTGTCCAAATCAGAAGATTCCGAAAAAAAATCAGGCGATCCAACGGAAGAGGCGGGAGAAGGCGAAGCCTCAGCGACTGGGGCAGCCGCAGTCAGGGGTGATGTCCGCGAAGGGGACATCGTGAGTGGCGAAGTCCCGGGCGAAACCTGTAGAGAAGGCGAAGTCGGGGATGCAGGGCGCGCCGCTGACGGCGAAGACACCGGTGGCGCAAGAGCAGTCGACGAAAACGCTGATGCCGGCGTTGCGGATGGCTGCAGCAGACGCGCGGCGGTCCGGGTGGTCTTGTTTGTCGAGCGGCACCTGCTAGAGCGACGGGCAGGCGACGATGTCCGAGGGACGATGGTAGCCCGCGGCTGGCGTCCGAAATAAGCGGGACCGGTGACGGTTCCTCCGGAAACTGCGGTAGTTTTGGCCCGAGTCCGTGAAGAAATGAGCGGTCCCTGCTCCGGAAGCGAAGACAAACCGTGCACATATCTAGTCGCCAAAGACGCGACAGGAGACAGCACGCGGGACGCATCCGATGTCAATGAGGAAGCAGGCCCTGAAGATGCGAAAACAGGCGAGACGATGAAGACTCCCGGGGACCGCTGAGAATTCTCGCAGGCAATCTTTGAGTCCGTCAGAGCATCCACCCGACGCGGGTGATGTCGGCGAAAATCCCCAAAATCGGAGGGCTGCAACGCTGGGGGCGAAAAGACTCCTGCCGTGCAAGGAGGGCGGAGCCCACCCAAACCGACCTCCGGTGTAGACGACGAGTGACAGTTGCGCCCGCAAGCCCAAATGAGGAAAACACCCGCTTGATCGACACCATCAATGCAGTCGGGGCCGGTTTTGTCCGTGTCTTGTGCTGGTAAAGGCAACCGCGAAAGAAAATCCGCGTTGCCGTTTGCCGAACCTTTCCGATATTTCAGGGTGTAGGTGAAGTTGGACAGGAATTCCAGCCATCGTTGCACTCTAGCGTTGTGTTCCCCAACCTTGCCAATGCTCTCCAATGCTTTGTGGTCCGAATAGATGATGAACTTGGTCGACCACAGATAACCGCGAAGGCGTTTGATGGCCCAAACAATGCCACCAGCCTCCAGATCCAAAACGGTCCAGTTACGCTCCGCAGGCAGAGTAGTGCGGCTGATGTACACGATGGGTCTCACCGAACCATCGAGCTGTTCTTGTTCCAAGGAGGCGCCAAAGCCGTCGATACACGCGTCGGAACACAAACGAAGAGGACGGCTGTTGTCCTCGATTGCTGCCCAATCCGGGAAGACCAAAATCGGGGGGCGAGCGAGTTCGCTTAACAACGTTTTGACAACCTTGACCATGCCCGGGGTGTACTTGAAGGGACGCCTTGTTTGAGAAGAGAGTTGAGAGGCCGCACCTTGGTGGCGAGATTCTTGAGAAATTTCCGGTAGTAGCTGAGTCCACCGAGACGGCTCCGAAGCTGCCTAACATTCGTCGGCGACGGCATGTGCGTGAGCGCCCTAGACTTAACGCCATCAGGGATAGCACCTGCCGGAGAGATGGTGTGACGGAGAAAGTTGGCGTGCGTGGCGCCGACGCGAGCCTTCCCTGGAGACAGTTTGAGGTTGTACTGTCCCAGTCGTTTGAAGAACTCGATCAAGTTTAGCACGTGTCCCAGAGGATCCTCATCAGATGACATCGTCCAGATAAGCCAGCACACGCTCCAGACCGTGCACCA